GGTTTTCGGGTTTTCGGGTTTTCGGGTTTTAGGGTTTTAGGGTTTTAGGGTTTAGGGTTGTAGGTTGTAGGGTTGTAGGGTTTTAGGGTTTTAGAGCTTTAGGGTTCAGGGTTTAGGGTTTGGGTCTTGGGGCATGTTGGTGGATAATTACAGTATTCCCCTATATTGCATTACATTGCTGAGGGCTCCAAAAGGTTATGTAAGTATGGTTATGGTTATACAGTTGTCATAGGGCTCTTCAAGGGGGATTTGTTGAGAAATAACTTTCTTGATCAATCAACTCCCTTTGTCACACGGCAATGCTCTTGAGATCCAGATTCTAATCCTTAATATAGGGGCCTGAAAAATTAGAATAAGGGTTTTGGGTCCCATTATACTATAATTATAGCAACCCCCACATATTATAGGTAATTATTGGGGCCCCTACATTATCTGGAGAGCCAGGGGGTGCTTGATCAGCAGTGTACATAGAGTTTACATTTCGGGAGTTTTGCAACAGTGTGTGACAAAGGTATACGTCGTCGATGGAGGGTTCCAAGCCAGACAGTGCTTCAAGACTCGTCAGAGCTTTTAGTGTGCAACCCTGAACCCTACAAATCCCTAACTCCATGGCCCAAACCCTATACCCTAAACCCTAAACCCTAAACCCTACTAAGCCTAAACCCAAGAAACGTAAGATCCGGAGGCCGACGTCGTGGTTCTTGCGACGGGGCACAAGCTGAGCCTTCTAGGAGATGTGGAAATGTCGGAAATCTAAGCTGCCCCAAAAGGAGACCCGAAATAGATCGGGTTTAGGGTTTAGGGTTTGGGGTTTAGGATTTATAAGCCCGAAATAGAAGACTCCTGCCAGGGGCAGCCCTAAAGATAGATAAAGGGGATTTCCAAACTCGAACCCTATGCAGGAGGATCCTCCTTACAAGAAGTCCTTACTACAAGGACCCCTGAATGAGGTACCCTAAACCCTAAACCCTAAAATCTTTTCTTTTTCTTGGAACCCTAAACCCTGAAGTTCTCCTTCATTACGAGGAGACGTAGAGCTCGTTGTCGACGGATGCACGCAGAAGATGGGTGAGAAGATGGCGTACCAAGGAGGCCTCATGGTCTCCGACGTGCCTGGATGCAAGGGTTTGGGGGTCTTTAGGGTTGGTTGAGGGACCCTAAACCCTAAACCATACACCCTAAACCCTACACCCTAGACTCTAACTCGGGATTTGGTTTCATGGTTTATGGTTCAGGCTTCCGAAAGATTTTTTAAAGGATGGCTACCTGAAAGCGACACTCCGTCTTAACCCAGCTAGTAGCGGGACACTTTTTTGTGGGGTCCTACTATAGGATCCTCTGAGGGGGTCTTGGAAGAAGCAAGAAAACCCCATGCCCTGAACCCGATGAGGCCTTCGGAGGAAAGATAGAGGGTTTTAGGGTTTAGGGTTTAGGGGGTTGAGGTTTTTAGGGTTTATGGGTCCAGGGATTAAGGTTTTTGTGTTTAGCAGACTCCTTGCAGAAACCCCTCGACCGAGGTGCCGAACTTGTTCAACTTCTCTGGGTACTTCAAGGGCACCTACACCCTGAGACTGGAGGCCCCTGGGACTCCCCTGTCTTCAGTCGTTAAAGCGTGAAGCAGAGCCCTGAACTACACAGCCGGGTTTAAGGGTTTAGGGTTAAGGGGTTTAGGGGTTTAGGGTTTAGGATTTAGGGTTTAGGGCTTCAGGGTTTAGGGTTTAGGGATCCCAAGCTTCCGAGGCGGAAGTGCCGCTTGTGCTCCGCATCTTGCAGTTCATGGACACCCACGGCTACGCGCGCGTCGTCCCGCGCTGGCGCGGTGGCGAGGAGGACGTGGACCCGTGCCCCCAGGTGGGGCTCATAACGTCAGCTGCCGGACGCTTGGATCTTGTTCGGTGCTTTTTTCTGGAGTGCCGGAGAAGAAAGGGTAGTCAGTGTGGAAGTGATGTCCGCATCAAGGATATGCAGACTCTGCATGGCACGGCCCCAACTATGCCAAGCGAGATGCAGCGTGGCGTCGCAGACCCTGCGTGGGAAAGCAGATGCCCTGGAGAGGCGGGTGGAACTACTACGAAGACTGGACCCACTGCCACGACGCACGCCCCGAAGACGGCACGCTCGAGTATGGCATCGCCTAGGAGCATCGGGAAAAGGAGCGGTGCATTCTGCCGGGGGCGGGGGCAAGGATAGAGCCCCGAGGTTGGCTGTGCCCATAGGCCCTAAAGTAGTTCCTTTTTGGGGGTTCATATATAGAAGCCTATAAGGTAACCCCAAAAAGGAACTACTATGGGGCCTATGGGTGATTATGATGGTAAGGTAGAGACGTAAACAGTTCGACTAGGGGAAACCCCGCAAAGCAGTACAAAAGACCGTAAATCGTGGACACCAGCTGCCCCAGCTCCCCTCCTAAACCCTAAACCCTAAACCCTAAGCCCTAAACTTGTAGTGACTTAGGCTGGAGCTCCTCGAATCGAAGCGTGCCCGGGTGGCAAGTAGATCGGGCCTTCTGGGCGCAGGGGGAGATGGAGGAAATGAAAGTAGGGTTTAGGGTTTAAGGGCTTAGGGTTTAGGGTTTAGGGTTTTAGGGCGTAGGGTTTGAGGTTGTAGGGCTTAGGGTTTAGGGTTTAGGGTGTAGAGCTTAGGGATTAGGGTTTAGGGCTTCGGGTTTAGGGTTTAGGGTGTAGGGCTTCGGGTTTAGGGTTTAGGGCTTCGGGTTTAGGGTTTAGGGTGTAGGGCTTTGGGCTTAGAGTTTAGGGCTGGGGGTTTGGGCTTCAGGGTTATGGGTCGGGTGTGGGCACCTCAGCCGCGAGAGGCCCGGAGCAGCTCCCGACAATGGATGATGTAGGCTTTCGGGTTTAGGGATTTTCTTGCGTCGAGATCTCAGAGAGTCTTTGAGGCTTCATTACATCAAGTTGCGACATTGAGACAATGTGGGTCATGGTTGACAGGGAAGGTTGGGACGGAGGGCTCCGGGACGTAGGGTTTTAGGGTTTAGTCTAGGTGTTGACATTTTAGGGTTTGAGGGTAGGGCCCTTACTGATGTGCAAGCTCTTCCTTCTCAAGGTTTAAGGGTTCAGTGCTTTGTGAAGCGGTCCTCGGCCGATCCAGGCAAGATCCTTGCTCCACATACACCTCAGGGACGATTTATGCTCTCACCTGAAAGCCGTACACCCTAACCGGCCCTAACCATTACAGCCTCAGACAGCCCTAAAGCCCGAAACGTTCGAACTTTCGAAAGCCTGTAATTCACGCGCCTTTGCACCCTGAACCCTAAACCCTTCGGGACCTTTGATCTTCGGACAAAGGAGTTAAAAAGACCCTGAGCCCTAAACTCTAAACCCTCGACCGCATGAAGCCTTCATCGAGTCCTTGTTGTAGAACCTGGTAAGCGCGCCTCTCACAGCGCCCAGAATCCCTTGGGGGCTTGGAGAAGTAGGTCAAACCTGAAGCCAAGACCTTCTTTACCCACCCTTAGGGCCTTAGGGCCTTTGGGTTTAGGGTGTAGGGTTTAGAGTTTAGGGTTTAGGGTGTAGGGTTTAAGAGTTTAGGGTTTAGAGTTTAGGGTTTAGGGTTTAGGGTTTCTGGAAGCTTTGTAGAACTTGTATAAAGTCCTTGTGGTAGGACCCTTAGCCCTAAACCCAAAAGCCCGAAACCCTCAGCCCTTCTAGAGCCCCTGTCACTGTAGGGCCCTGGCAGTAAGGCCTGTAGAGGAGCCCGTCAAGAGACCCCAGCAAAGACAACACGGACCTGATCTGGTTAAGAAACCCTAAACCCTACGGACCCTATTTGAGCCCTTCAAGGAAGCCCTGATGCCTAAGAACCCTCAAAGGAGCCCTTACAGGGAACCCTGATGCCTAAACTCCTTATGAACCCTCAAAGGAACCCTTAAAGAAACCCTGATGCCTAAACTCCTTAAGAACCCTCAAAGGAGCCCTTAAAGGGGGGACCTTGTTGAGCGCCGTTGAGGCCTGGAGAAGTTGGCTCTGATGCTCAGCCGCCGTCAGCGGCTTCAGGAGCTCCTCCAGCGCCTCCTGGCTCGGAGGAATTTCCGTGAGGGTGATCGGGTTCCGGGTGTAGAGTTTAGGGTTTAGGGTTTAGGGTTTCGGATTTAGAGTCTAGGGTTTCGGATTTAGAGTTTAGGGTTTCGGGTATAGAGTTTAGGGCTTCGGGTTTAGAGTTTAGGGCTTCGGGTTTAGCGTTTAGCTTTTCGGGTTTAGGGTTTAGGATTGGCAAGGTTTTGGGTTCTAACTTGGGGGCTCCATGAGGGGTGCTTGGGGTTCAAGGTCTTTCGAGGATTTTGCTCCACTTTTGAGGTGCAGATGCGGACCATGTGGCCGATGGACCAAATCCTACACTCCTTCAAGCAAGCACTCCCATGCTATGCCTTGATACTGGATACTGCAGGATTTTTTGCCCATCAAGCGACCATCCGGTCAGCCCGAATGGATCATTCCAGAGTACATGACTGAACCCTCATTACCCTACTTCAGAGGGTTTAGGGCTTAGGGTGAACCGCTCATGGTATGTGACAGGGGGCAGGGATCGTTTCGCCCAGAACAGAATGGGGATCCTGCGACACGTTCCGCCCAAATTCTTCAAGTTCCTGCTGGTTCGGGTCTCCAATCACTCAACCCTCAAAACCAAAACGCAAGCCCGAAACCCTAAACCCCAAACCCGAAGCCCTAAACCCTAAACCCTAAACCCCTCAAAACCGAAACGCAAACCGGCAATCCGAGCCTGCGCCCCTGTTGGCATTCCCATGGCGAGACTTGGAAGAATACCCTAAACCCTAAACCCCAAAACCCTGAACCCCAAACCTAAACCCTAAACCCTAAACCCTCAGCCCTGAGCCCTAAACCCTAAACTCTAGAAGCCCTAAGCCCGAAACCCCAGGAAAGCAGGAAGAGCTAGCGACTTCGGGTGCATTGCCGGAGCGCCAGGCTGGAGAGGAGGCGGCCGAAGGGTCCGAGACTTCGGGGGCACCAGGGCCCCTTATAGTAAAGGCTTAGGGTTTAGGGTTTAGGGTTTGGGGTTCAGGGTCTAGGGTTTAGGGTTCAGGGTTTAGGGTTCAGGGTCTAGTGTTTAGGGTTCAGGGTTTAGGGTTCAGGGTTCAGGGTTCAGGGTTCAGGGTTCAGGGTTTAGGGTTTAGGGTTTATGGTTTATGGTTTTGGGCTTGGGGTTTAGGGTTGAGGGTTCCTGTTGAGGGCCTCTAGAACAGAGAAGCCCTTAGTTCGTTCAGTTGGAGTATAGGGTTCCTTAAAGGTTTCCTGTTAAGGTTCCGTTGCTAATTTTAGTGTTCCTAAAGGGGCTCCAAATAATGGACACCCCGAACAGGTCTCCCACCCTCATGTGGGTTAAGAATGGCCGGGTTAAAGTTTAACCCTAAACCCTAAACCCTAAACCATAAACCTTAGGGTGCCCAGAAGCTATGTGAAGCATGACGTTTGGGCCAAGAAGCATCACAGCCAGAAGCCTCGCAGCCTTTCGGTTCCAAAACCTCGCAACCCCCACCTCAAGCCGAAGTCCTAACCCATGACCCCTGAACCCATAAACCCTTTTAGGCCCTATTCGAGCCCTAATACAAACCCGGAACAACCCTAAGCTTTAAGCACTAAAATCCCTGAAACCCTAAACCTTGAAGCCGAAACCCAAAACCTTACACCCTGGCCCTATACCTTAAACCCTAAGCCCCCACCCAGCCTGAAGACGCGCTTTGCAAGGAGAGCGCGCAGCGCCAGCGCCTCCGCGCGTTCCTCCAAACGCGGCAGCTGGCGCCGCCTGCACCGGCCGTGCCTTGGTGGCCGCGATATCTGTGGGAGTTCGGTAAGTTCGGAGTTTTAGGGGTTTAGCGTTTAGAGCGTGGGGTGTAGGGTGTAGGGTGTAGGTTTTAGTGTCTAGGTGTTAGTGTTTAGGGTGTAAGGTTTAGTTGGTAGGGACTGCGTGCAGTTAAAGGAGGCGTGAACGGTTCTTGAGAATTAAAGCTTGCACGGACGGAGAGGATCTTGCTGCGTGGGCACTGTAGAACGGCACGAGCCGCATGTATGCATGGAGTGGTGCTCACCCGAAATCAATGACCCAGTGTGCTTTGTGGATCTTTGTGGTATTTGCGGTCCTACGGCATCAACCTGCTTAACCCTTTTTCGGCAACTGAGGACAAAAGAGCAGATGCAAAGCCTTTGAAAAAACACTCGGCCGCGAAGGATAAGAAGGATGCCATGAGTTCCATCAGCAAAGCCGAAGCCGAAGACGAACGCTTGGCCGCAGAGGCAGCTGTAAACGCAGAAGAGGAGCGCTTGGCTGCAGAGGCTGCTGCCAACGAGGCTGCTGCCAACGAGGCTGCTGAGAAGGCAGAGGAAGAACGTTTGGCTGCAGCGCGCAAAGCCGAAGAAGAGCGCTTGGCCGCAGAGGCAGCTGCGCAAGCTGAAGAGGAACGCTTGGCTGCTGCCCGACAAGCCGAAGAAGAGCGTTTGGCTGCAGAAGCCGCTGCCAAAGAGGCTGCAGAGAGGGCTCAAGAGGAACGTTTGGCTGCAGCACGCAAGGCCGAAGAAGAACGCTTGGCCGCAGAGGCAGCTGCGCAAGCTGAAGAGGAGCGTTTGGCTGCTGCCCGAAAA